ATTTCAAACAATGAATACTCTGTTATTAAACTCATCTCTGATAATGGGAAATATTGTTACTTTTATTATCAGATTTTGAGCAGTATCTTTTCATCTAATTTGGGGAGTATTGCTTCCCCACTCTCCAAGTGTCTGGCAGAGATAGGGATCTGGATGAAAACAATTTGGCATAAACACAGATTGGATAAGATGAAAATGCTGCTTGTTGCAATCAAAACAAAGTCATTCACAGTCTCTGGGTCTCATTAGGCTCCTCCTGGTTCCTGGACTCCCCACTAGAAGTAATGGCCAGAAATACCTTCGTTCATCTTCTGTTGACCAAAATGTACCCTTCCCACTTGAATGCAGATTTTGACACTGTTACCTACAGCTCTGTCAACTTAGCACTTGACTACTGTAACACCCTCTATGTAGGACTCTTGGAATGCCAGTCAGCTGTTCAGCTAGTATAGAATGGAATGGCCTGTCTCTTAAGTACAGCAAGCCAGTGAGAGCATATACATCTGTACTTTGTACTCTTCATTTTATTCCTGTTCACTTCTGGGTGGAATTCAGATTGTTAACTATTGTCTATAGCACCATAAATGACTAAGACCAGTTATTTCGGAGACTGCCTCTTCCTCTATGGCCCCTCACTGCGACTGTGTTCAGCATGAATATTTTTGCTGTCAGTCTCCAGGGTTTATCTGGTATCAGGTATTTTCAGTGGCTGTGGAATTTCCTCAGGCTAGAAGTCTACCTGAGCCTATGGCTGGCTATGTTCAAATTATACATAAGCCTGAGGTGTTGAGTTGATAATGTGTAAATTTAGCTCAGTCAAAACATTTCTTAAATTGAAGTGTGTATTCATGGAGATACAGAGGGAGGCTGTGAGAGAGAGCTATTATACCTGGGAAAAATTAAATATTTGCATTACAGCTCAAGTTTTAAGCAAGCTTTGGAAGCCCTGCCGCAACTCTTAAGTGGAGCAGACAAAAAGTAAGTGTACTTGTACTTCCTTTAACATTTATAATACCACTCGCAAGAGCACTGGTTTTTTAGTGCAGTAGCAAGATAGTGGTGCTGAAGAATAAGTTATGGCATTTGACTTTTGTGAGTCACAGAATGGCAGCCCTGATTCAGTGTGGCACATTAGACCTAAATTTTACAGCAGAAACTTTGGCTTTATGTGACACTGCTCTGTTCCCTAGTCCAGTCTAATCAATACAGTATCATTTTTGAATTACAGTCAATTATAGCTTTTCATGCTAATTTTCAAGTTTCAGTGTGCTGCATTGTTTTATTCTATTGAATACCAATAACTGCATTGGAGAAATAGCCAGGGAGGAAAACTGAAGGTTTTGACGGTTGGTGTTTTGGGGAACTTGGAAGACAGTTTTGTTTGGTTTTGTAATCCAAAGGCTTTAAATAAGAGTGGAATGTAGCACTCCTTTAAATTCAGAAGAACAGGAAATTTAATTCCTCTTTCCCAATCCCAGCAGCCCTTGACAAAGGCATTCTGCCATGCTACATCTAAACCAGTATCTATACAGTGGCGGATAAGCACATTAGCTTGATGTTTAGACTAAAATCAGAAATAGTGCCAACATTTAAATTGTCATAATTAACTTTCAGAGTTAACACCCATTGTGGTGAATGGACAGATTCATGTCTCCAGACCTATTGTTTCAGGCTGTCAGCAAATTCAAGCAAATGTTGCTGTGTTCATTTCCACTGTTTATTCACAACTGAAGGGCTAGAAACTTCATTTTTTTCCTAAATGAAAGCTTAGATTCTGGAATATAATTAAAAACTAATAACTTTTTTAAAAATAGCCACTTATACCATCATCTAATTGTATTATACAAGGGCCCTTGATACTGGCCCAGAAGGATTCAGATCTGAAGATGATGGCCACTGTGACCCCAGTCTAGCAAAGAATTTAAGTATGCACTTAGACTAAAGCATGTTAGTAATGCCATGTGATAAATGGGCCTACTCACACATTTAAGGTGAAGTATGTTATTAGTGCTTCACTGGTTTGGGGCCAGAGTGCTCAGCACTTTACAATGTTGAGCCCATAATGAATGTATTTACACACACAATCACACGCACACATGTCTCAGAAAAACAAACTTGGTATTGATTTGTGTTCTGTCTATGAAACTGAAACCAAAGATGTGTGAAACATTTGCACGGAATTCATTCAGACATTACCCTAGTTCAATATTCTGTAGACACAAGCAAAGTATGCTTGCACAGCTACAACATTTGTGAACCCTGCCTCCCTGCAATGGGCCTCCATCCATTTATCCAACAATTACTCCTTGCTCCTGCCAGCCACAAGCCTCAAGACCTCTCCCCACCTTTTAGAGCTCTACAGGAGGGTCTGAAGATAAAAAAGGAGCCTCTTTTGGGGTAAGGAAGGTTCCCCTTTGCAATTGGAGTTCATCGAAATTAAACTTTCAGACAAACCCGTTGGACTTGGTATGTTTCCAACCACTGTGCGCTGAACTACAGAGGGCGGTTCACAAACAAAGCACTGTACAGTTTTTACAGCTCTACCTCCACCCAGAGGGCAGCTCTGAGGCCCAGAGAGTTAAGGATGTGTTCTATACCTTAAATTATTTTCTCAGGTATGTTACCACTACATCTGTAAACTCCCTCACACCATTCATGACAAAATTAAAAATAATTATGTTAAACGTATTTTTTATGGAATGATTTAGAGCTGCTGGTGTTACCAATAACATGCTCCATGTAATATTGAAATATAGCCTGCATGTGAATGATGGATGTCCTCAGTAGCCTTTCCCAGAGGGGCTATTGGGGAAGTGGGTATTAATTTGTGCTTTCACTCGCTGATCGTAGGAAAGACACACACCTGTTAATTTTACAGCACACAACGTATTATTTGTTTTTTGAAGGAAATGATTGACATCTGCTTAAAGGAAGCCTTCAATGGATTTTATAAAATTGTGTAGGCTGCCCTTTCTTGCTTCTTTTGATGTAGACCTAAAATTTTGGGGGTTTTCCCCTCCCCCAAAAACACTTAATTTTACCTTAGAAATATGAATTCTGATTTTCCCTGGTTTTGCTGGAGGAATTTCTTGTCAATCTGAGATGTTCAGTGTGACCTAATTAAAGCGATGGGAGCATTGAATCTTTAACAAAGACACCCTGTCACAAATACTCCATATGCGTTGTAGCTGAAGAGGAAAGACGGTGTGTGGTTAAGGCACTCGACTATTGTTCAGGAGATCTGGTTTCGATTCCCAGCTCTACCACAGACTTCCTGTGTGACTTGGGACAAGGCACTTAACCTCTCTGTGGCTCAGTTCCGTATCTGTAAAATGGGGGTGATGGTACTTCCTTTCTCCCATCCTTTGTCTAGTGTTAGATTGTAAATTCTTTGATGCAGGAACTGTCTCTTATTACATGTATGTACGGTGCCTAGTGCAGTGAGACCCCCAGTCTCATCTGAGGCCTCTAGCCATGCCTGTGACACAAATCATTATCTTGAGTTCAATAGGTGCTAACATAAACAATAAAGCGTTTTAAATAGCCTGATGGAAAATCTCGTTACCTTGCATTTGCTCAGCTTTCAATCTCTTGACCTTTTTTTGGTGTTGCCATTTCACTAGTTCTCCAGACACCATAGTCTCTTCCTAAGTAGCAAACCAGACTTTTACCCCCCCCCCCCCAAAAAAGTTCAGACCACATTATTTTGTGCTGCTACTCTGAAACCTGACATTATTTTGTGTGTGTTTGTGTTTTCAGAGTGGTTGGCACTGTACAGACACAGAGAGAGAAACGTTTTCTGTCCAAAAGAGTTTATAGTCTAAATAGACCTAGACCATAAGGAGGGGAAAAAAGGTGGGAGGCTGGGAGAAACAAGCCTACTTTTTCTTTTGCAGGTTACCTCTTTAATGAAAATTTATTTTTGAAGATAGCATTTATATGAAGGCAAAAGCATACAACTTGATAATACCTCTGAGGCTATGTTCTTCCATGAGCACATAATTTTTACTGTCCCCTTATGCAGCAGGTTAAATATAACATGTGCTTGCTGTACATCTAAACATCAGCTATATATGGATTTGTAAACAAGTGCCAGCATTTGATCTGATTTAAGTTGACCATGTATTTGAGAACACAGAAATAACTGCTAACGCTTTAAGTAGGGTTTTCCTTTATCATCCTATTCAGCCACGTGAAAACAGGCTCCTTGTGATGCATTCTAAAAGTACAAGCTTGTGGGACTATAAGAAAAAGTGGCAAGTTAACACAATCTGGTCCTAACATTCCCGATGCTCCGCTACTGATTCCCTGAAAGCTGCTGCTTCCAGTATGTGTCTGTTGGTGTCACTGCAGTGGAATTTGTCATTTTCCTGCTATATTGTGAGAAATTACACCTCTACCTCGATATAACGCTGTCCTCAGAGCCAAAAAATCTTACCGCGTTATAGGTGAAACCGCGTTATATCGAACTTGCTTTGATCCACCGGAGTGCGCAGCCCCGCCCCCCCGGAGCGCTGCTTTACCGCATTATATCCGAATTCGTGTTATATCGGGTCGCGTTATATCGGGGTAGAGGTGTATAAGAATTTTCATACTAAAATGAATCAGAAGTCTCTGTGTTCAAGTATCTGGTCTCTAACAGTGGTTTATACAGGATCTGTTACCAAAGGATGTAAAACTACTTCAGAGCACCCAGTTGTCTGACATGATACTGTGAGAGGGTAAGAAAGTACTAGAGGAACTTGAACGCAAAAGAATAAGATTTTCCTTGCATTACCCACAATAAGTAGATTTTTTTTAAAAAAAGATAAAAAATAGGTGTGCATCTACAGTACCTGCTTTTGTAGTAGTGCATGTTTGTTCCTGGTATGCTATACTGGAGAAACTGAACTATTTAATGTATACAAAAATATTACTGCCTTAATGTGTCCAAGTTCAGAGAGCTTGGGATATATGCTACATTAATTACCTTCTAAATAAATGGGTAAACCTAACTTGCAACACCCCAAATCTGTAAACTCCAAACTGCCAAAGTTATACAATGTTTTCTTTTTTACAGGTTATTAGAAGAGCTACTAAACAAATTTAAAAGTAGTATGCACCTGCAGCTCACCTGCTTTCAAGCTTCTTCAGCAATGATGAAAACATAGACGACAGCAAAATGCAAGCATCCCACAAAAGAACACAGATAAACATACTCCCATTACTCCCGTCCTTTTTCATTTCCTTTGAACACTTAGCTGAATACTTTCTCATTGGAGTGGTGTTTCAGTTTACTGGCAAGCAATGGTGTGATTCATGTGGTGTAGCCTTCAAAGTAAGAAAGATTATTAGAAATGCCACTGTAAAAAAAAAAATTATCTATTGTTTTTCATCGTATCAAGGCGGTTAGACGAACTTTGCTCTAATATCCTCTTCACAGCTGTATGTTTATAGAGAAATCTTCATTTGTGTGCTGCAAAGTATATTTCATTTGTTAGAAATATATTTGGAAAATGGGGCATGTTAGACATTTCTGAATATCTCTGTGTACCAGTTTGAAACTCCCTGGATGCACAGGAATGCTGATGAGAACAGATTTCTATATTGGCATGTTGTATAAACTATCCAGATGCATACTACAAATGTTACTAACTGCAGATGGCTCTAATACACATTCAAATATAGTATGCTGGAGAAGAAGCTGCATGTTTAAAAAATTTAGCACTTTAGGTAATTTCTCTGCCATTGTCTTCAAGTGCTCACAAATCTGACTTCTTGGTGTTTTTTAAATTCAGCTGATCTCCTGGGCGGGGCAATACTGTGTTGTCTATTCCAGTTCAGTCAGAAAGTCAAGGTTAAACGTATAGCCGAAATATAACAGTGTGGTTACCTTTTCAGTGGCCACTTAACAGCTAGTGACTACTCTGCGTTGTAAATGCAAGCATCGCAGTATTTTAAATAATCTAAATCTTCACTAAATCAAATATTCTTTATTGGTTAAGGGCCAGAAGAGCAAACAACTTCTCAGATAGTCAAAAATAAGCTCCCAATAGTGTAGTGTTGGCCACTGGATTTTGCTGCTTCCTTCCCACTTCCTCTCCTGCCTTTTCTCCTTCTTTTAGACTTACTCCCTCTGTCTGCCATCCCTCCCTGGTTGTATCATTCTCATCAGGAAATACTGAATCCCTGTGGTGGGTGGGTGGAGATTAAGCAGACCAAAGACAAATGCTGTTGTTACTGCCATAGGAGTGTAATCCTAGAAGCTGTGTATGTATTGTGGCTTCTCTACTGACCCTAAGGACTCACATGCTGTGACTTAATGTAAAGTACAGGAAATAAAGATGCCATAAACTAAAACAAATATTAGTTAGTATAGGCTGTTAGTTTTGGGGACTTGTTTTTTTTTATTGATCTACTAAACTAATAATGGCCAATAATTATCTGCTGTTTATGTATTTAAAGTTATTTTGGCCTGGTTTACAGAAGCCATAATTTGAATTCACAAAATATTTTTCATGAATCACCAGAAATTCTTTATCTTGCCAATACAGTTAAATGCTTTAAAAATAAAATATAGAGCTTCAATAATAAACTATGTGTTGCCTATATATGTAGCTAAATAAGCATTAAGAGCATTTTAATGAAAATCTAAAACTTTTTAAGTGTATATGCTTATTGAGGGAGTATTAAACAGTTACCTGGACCACTGTTGTTTTCCTAAATCTGTTATCTAACCTAAGCTGAGTATATAAATTTATAGTCACAGTTTCTGATATGATTGTACAGTTTGTTAGACCTGTAAAGGCACTAACTTCAGAATAATAAAGTGGTGTTTAAGCAAGATGACCATTAACTTTTTGTGATTTCATTATTTTTGAAGAATTTATGACCACCTTTACATAATATGTGAGGTTTTATATTTGCATCAGCTAAGTTGCAACATTTCTGAAGCTTTTATGCTAAAGTAAGAAACATCCCTCAGAGTGTCATTATATTGGTCACCTTATGTAACAAGAGATTGGTTGTTCTCTTCAAAACCTAAACCAAGCCATTTGCTTTTAGTTCAGTCTTTCTACAATCATGCTGAATGTTACTGACAGAGGGGCTAAGAATAATGGGAAAGGGATTGCATGCTACTTGAATTAAACATGGTGAGGAAAGGGGTCATGAACCAGTGTAGTACAAGAGTATTAGATTTCAAGAAAGCAGATTTGGGGAAAATGAAGAAACCTAATGAAGAAGGTGCAATGGAAGAAATTATTAAAATCTACTTGTGTGGAAGAGGGGTTAGGAATGCTACGATACCATAATTAAGGTACAATAGACGACAGTTCCTCTGAAAAAGAAGATTATGAGGAACAAGAAGTGGTCAATGCGGCTTCAGAAGGACCTGTTCAAAGATACAGTGAGTAAAAAAAACTTTACTGGAAATGGAAAAGCATTGTGGGGACCACACCAGAATATATAGTCAGATAAGACTTGAAGAGAGCACAAATGCAGATGCACACACACACACTTCATGATAGCAAAAAGTGTTTTAAGGGTTAAGAGTATTTATAAGGATGTACGGCTTAATGGCAATACTAGAGAAAAATTCAGCCAATTAGTAAATGGACCTAGATACTACCCTGAGAGGCCTCTATAAGGCCAAAAAATCAGCAAGGTACTTAAGAACATGCCTGGCTTTAAGTGTCATTGGTACTGCTCACATTCTTAAAGTTATGTACGTGCAAATGTACATCCCTTCTGAATCAGCATCTAGATGCCTAAGAAAGATTAATGACGACTCTAAAAGATTGAGCTGGGATTGTTGGGGGTCTTTTCATCTACCATTTAAAAGAAAAATAAACTTGGGAAATTGGGAAGTGACAAGAAGCATGTACAAATAGATCTTCACTAAAAATAACAGGTGCAGGACACCTTGGAAAATTCAAATACACATCTCAGTGCGTCCAGATGTTCTGCATCTTGAGGTGTTAAGGAATTAGCTCACAAAGGGCTTGTCCACGCGAGAGGGGTGTAAATTCCAGCGTACGTTAGGGTGTTTTGCATTACCTGTTCCTTGTGGAGCCTGCTGGTGCACAATGAAAATTCCGTAGTGCGTATTAATGCAGTCCTGTTTCAAACAGTACTGTGTTAATGCACACTCGGGAGTTTGTATTGTGTGCCAGCAGGGTCCACACATCATACCAGCTAGTGTGCCCCAAACTAGTGCCCGCTAGAATTTACGCCACTCTAGTGCGAACTAGTACACTGAGTAGATGAGCCCTAATTTACTGAACTACTGAGAATTACTTTTTGAAAAGTCACTGATGATTGGGGAGGTACCTAAAGATTGGGAGAAAGCCAATGGGGTACTGAAGTTAAAAAGAAAAAAATCTTAATCGGGGAGGAGTCACTTAGTTCAATTGAATGTCAGTCCTTAGTAAAATAAGGGGACAATCCATAAACATACAGAGGGTAGTGTCACCAAAAGAAACAAGCAATGTGTGGGAATGAAGAACAAATCCTGGCAAACAAACCTGAGTTTTAAAACATCTTCATTAATAGGCTGTGGAAGGTCTAGAGTACATCAATGAAATTTGCAGATAATATCTGAGAGAGAGTTGTTGAACACTCTTAGGGGCAGAGAAATAATACAGAAGAACCTAGAAGATTGGAAACGTGGATCAAAATCCTGCAAGCGTTTGCACACACTCTGAACTGTGACTAGGCAGGGGACTGCTCGTACTTAAAGTGAAACGTGTGTGTAAGACTTTGCAGAATCAGGGCTGTGATTTGTGGATCATGGATGTTGAGCAAATTCTGCCCACCCGCATGCATCAAAAGCCCTAAATATACCAGAACCAGTACAAATTCACTATCTGACAGCAAGAAGGAGGTGAGACACTTGTGCTGGGGGGGGCTGGGGCTGGACATTTTGTAGCTCTGTGAGGCTCTATGTGCTGTAGCACAAGGGGAAGGGGGATGACTGAAGGATTGAATTTACCCACTTACCAAACCATTGCCAAGCCTACTGCATCCCTGAGGAGAAGTGTACTAAAGGTGAGAGTTTTATTCACATACCCTATTGCCATGCAACTATTGAACCATTCATTTCTGGGTACGTCCATTACCAGAGAGAGAGAGACAGACTGGAGGGAAATCAAAGTGACAGAAAATGACTGAAGTACAACATAGATTAATCTATAAGGAAAAACCTAGAAAAAAATATAGCTAAAGTGAGCCACAAGTATGGGGGAACAGAATGCATGCCTGCAGATACTTGGAAAGTCTAAACACCAAAGAGGGAGGGGCATTGTTCAGAGTGATGCAAAACGAAGTGAAATGGGGATTAATTAAAAAGAAAAACTGGATTAACACAGAAAATTTCCTGACTCAGAGATCTATGACTTGCCAGGAACTTGCTGGAAGTCCCCTGCCTGCACACATTTAACACTTGACTGGTTAAAGCATTAGAAAATATATTCTAGAAACTATTTCTGAACTGACCCCTGGGGTTTTGAATTAAGTGGTTCAAGCGTTTTCCTTAAGTGTGTGTGATTTTTGTGACATCATGCAAAAATGGCATGTTCTAGAGATTATTCTGGCCTTGTGAGAATGGCAACATCAAGACAAGAATTTGGCTGTTACCATGATTACATGTGATCTTCAGTTCCTTTTAGAAAAGACAACATACAAACATATCAAAACTCCTGTTATATTGGGCCTCATCTAAAGCCCACTGTAATCAATAGAAAAACTCATTGACTTCAGTGGGGTTTGGATTAGTCCCATTGTTAAATTGTACATGAAAACCCAGGTGCACGCAGAAAATTTACTTCCAAAGAGACAGAGTTAACGTCTGTCCCAATCTGGGATCTCGCTAGGGAATGAGTGGGCCCTGCATCTTTTGCATTTGCTATAAGCGTGGAACCGTTTTGCAATGTGAAATCTACAGTGACCTTTATCAAAATAAATGAAAATTGAAATACAAGCAAAATGGTATCTAATCCTACAGATGGGCTCAAACCCTAAATTCAGCTCTGGATCTTGAACTCTGCACAGTTTTGGGTATTTTGATCTGAGGGTTTGATTTGGACCCATCTTGATCTGTGACAATAAGAGGACATTTGTATGTGTCAGCAAATCTGCTTCATGTTATGAATTGTGGCACACATGGGCACTTGGAATTGTAATATTTGGCTAGAGCTGGTAAAATATATGTGACTATTGTCAAAACAATTGGCAGCGCTTGTATTACTTGCCATGCCAGTAGAGCTTATTACGTTGTGCTGTAGAGCATAAATATGACTTGGAGTGTCTGGGCTTCAGGACTCGATGTGAACTACGTCTGCAGCTAACCTTGTTACACCGATGGCAGACCTCAATGGGACTAGAGTGATGGCAAGTCTGTTAGCATTTCTGATGTAAGCCATGTTGTTGAGAGGGTTACATACTGTCACGCAGCAGTAAAATAGTCACTCTGGCATGGTAATTAACCTAAAAGTTCTTACTCCAGGATCAAATTTTATACCCAAGGAAAAAGGCTAAGCAATTTTAAAATAATGCCAAACAATTTAAAAGTTTATTAGATAGAGACTCTTATTGGCTCCTTTTTATCTCAGATATCCTTTTTAATGGGATCGACACATTTGTTTATATCTGTCCAGGGGACAGAATGGCTTAGAGGGAATTAATAAGGGGGTTTAGACTTTGTTACCTCTATGTCACTGCTTAATATCAAGGCAAGGCAGGTAGTGACCAAAAGCTGTTACTATCCAACTGCTATACCACCTTGAGTAACGATCATAAACTTTTCATATACTAGGAAGGCTTGAGGCCTGGTCATCATGTGGATAGTAAACAAAACAACAGGTGCTTCAGGAAATTGTGGTGATTGTTTAGCAAGTGGCAATCTATACTGGAACAATGTCTCAACATGTTAGGGGGGCACTAAGTGTCTATTGAATGACACAAAATCGAGTTTTAAAAGGTTCACACTGCAGTTTCAAATGGATATTATTTGCATTGCTAATGGTTTATAATATGATAGCACCCTCAGTGTTGTAGACACTGTATAGACAAATGCAAAGAGCTTATTTTATAAACTGCTATTAATTTCCTTCCCTAAACTGTTGTGCAGTAATACTAAGCACTAACAGCAGCTGCATTTCATTCCAGAGGTGGCTGCTTTTCTTCCAGTGGTAGGCGAAGTGATTTTCTTATTAAATGCAAAATCCTAGCATTAATGCACTGTTAAGCTCCAAATAACGTGCATGCACGTGTCAGGCGATTCCTAAAGTGAAGGCTGCTTCTATATTCCTTTCACTCAATTGGAACAAAAATAGAAAATGCTACATAATGTAAAATGTAGACAAGATACTTTTGCAAGAGCAACCTTATGTATTAGCATGTTCCGAGTTTGATATTTCTACTTGAGCATTTCAGTAAACATTAGTCTTTTGCATTTTGTTTCTTTGGATTATTGAAGAACAGAAAAAAAATCCAGAGCTATTTTTCTGAGGGGAGCATTACAAATATTTGTCTTCACCTTTGTAAATTTCTTCATCTAGAGCTACCGTGTGTTAAAGGCTCCGTGATGCAGCAGCCTTCTTGTCCTCTACGGCTCATGAGCACCATTAATTCCAAGTGCAGAGATTAATGGGCATGAGTTCTTTAATACAGAGCTATTGGCCTGTGATTTTTTACAAGTTCTTCCAGTTTCCCCAAAGGAGTAGGCAGGCTGTTATATAAAGTCCTGAACAAACCCACTTAAAGGGTTATATCTACACTGCAATTAGACACCAGTGGCTGGCCCAAACCAGCTGACTTGGGCTTGCCGGTCTCTGGCTGCGGAAC